TGATAACAGAGATTCAAAGTTGTTAGGTTTTATTTTTATTTATGACTGTATACATTTCTATTGATTTATTGATTGATTGACACATTTCTATTGATTGATAGATGTATTATTGATCGACAGATGTGTATCCTGTCATTTATTGACAGGTGTACAGATGTTTCTTTATAGACTGTTCTGGATTCCTCTGTGTAGACCTTCATCCGTTCATTGTTCAGAGTCTCTGGACTCTGGTCCTAGTAGAACTGGTTCTGCTGCTGAAACCAGTTCAGTGTTTCAACATGATTCAAAAGCTTCAAACTGGTTTCAAGTGTTCAGAGCGGCTGTTGACACGTCTCCATGGTGACCGTGTGTTGTGATCAGTCATGGAGGAGCAGGAAGCTGAAGACGGGACGGACCGTTTCCCCGGATACGGGTAGTTGGACCGCTAGTTGACTGAACTAGGACTAGATGATTGTTACAGTGTGTAGTAGTTCTATTGCTACTGCTACCGGTATTCCTGATGCTACTACTAGTACTACTGATACTACTACTATTACTACTACTGCTTCTGCTACTGGTATTACAGATACTACTGCTATTAGTACTGCAGATACGACTACTGGTACTACTACTACTACTACTACAGATGCTTGGCCCGAGAGTTCAGTCACGTGATCACGATGTGTGTTTACATCCCTCTGAGTGCCGATGCAGCCGCTGCCTGTGAGAAGATCCAGTCAGTCACAGCGAGGCTGCAGACCCGACATCCAGAGGAACTCATCGTCATCTCTGGGGACTTTAATCACGCCACACTGAACTCTGCCTGCCTGCTTTCCACCAGTTTGTGAACTGCCCCACCAGAAACAACCGGACACTCGACCTCCTGGATGCTAATGTACGGGACGCATACAGAGCCACCCCCCTCCCCCCACTTGGTAAGTCAGACCACAACCTAGTCCTCCTCCAGCCTCAGTACACCCCTCTGGTCAAAAGACAGCCGGCCACAACACGCTCCATCAGGAGGTGGTCTCCTGAGGTGGAGGAGGCCCTGAGGGACTGTATGGAAACCACCTCTTGGGATGTTCTGTTTCCCCCCATGGTGAGGACACTGAGGGGCTGACCCACTGCCTGACTGAGGACCTGAACTTCTGTGTGGATGGAGTCTCTCCTGCTAAGGCTGTTTGTTGTTACTCGAACAACAAACCCTGGGTGATGCAGGAGGTCAAAGCTGCACTCAACAGGAAGAAGGTGGCTTCAGGAACAAAGACAGGGAGGCAATCAGAGCAGCACAGAGGGAGGTGAAGCTCTGCCTGAAGGAGGCCAAAGACACCTACAGGAGGAAGGTGGAGCAGCAGCTGAGGGACAACAACATGAGGGAGGTCTGGCAGGGTGTGAAAACCATCACAGGCTTCAGAACCAAAACCAGAACAGCAGGGGGACGGTGGAGGAGGCCAACAATCTGAATGCCTTCTTCAACCAGTTTGAAAATCTACAGCACATCTTCAGCCTCAGCCTGCAGCTGGGGACAGCGCCCACCATCTGGAAGACATCCTGCATTGTTCCGGTGCCGACAAAGACCCGGCCCAGCGAGCTGAATGACTACCGACTGGTGGCACTCACTTCACACCTGATGAAGACGCTGGAGCGGCTCCTCCTCCACCTCCTCAGGCCCCAGGTCCACAGTTCAAAACAGGAAGTGATTTATGGGATGTTCTGAAATGATTCAGTTCAAACTGCAAATGCAGACGTCTGCCGTCCACATTGGTTATTACTGATTCTCACTTTGAATCATGATTACATTCAATAAAACACTTGGATAAGAAAAATACTCCAGTTATTGTTGAATGATGTTTTTGTTGATTTACTGATTTCACTGTGTATATACTAAGATAATAAAAGGTCAAGTTTATTCTGAACGATCAGACACGAGACGTTATAACCCTACAGGAACACTCCCCTTATCGACACTGAGTCATGGTCAGTTTAGTTTGTCCTTTTTGACAAGAATTTACAAAAAGAGATTCATGTCAAAGCGAAAACAGATTTATATAAAGTCAATAAACAAATGATGCAATAAGTAGCTAAACAAGTATTCACCTCCTTTAAAGTGACTCTAGTGTGCAGCCAGTCACTGCTAGAAGTCCTGCAGTCAGTGAATGCATCATCTGAGGTCAGTGAATGTGTCTCAGTGATTATAGTGTAGAGACTCCTGTATCTGGAAGGTCCAGTCACTGGTGGATCAGAACTGCTGGATAGAACCACACCATGAAGACTGAAGAACCCTCCAAGAACTCATTATTGAAAAGCAAAGTCCAGCAGGAAGGAGACTAGAGAGGGAGGCCACCAAGACTCCTATGACTCCTCTGAAGGAGGTACAAGAAGGAGACTAGTGAGGGAGGCCACCAAGACTCCTATGACTCCTCTGAAGGAGGTTAGGGTTCCAGCTCGTTCCAGCTCCAGCAGCTGAGATGTTAGCGACTGTTCATACAACAGCTGTCGTCTTTCTGGGAGACAAACAGAAAACTGACCTGAAACAGTCTCATCAGAAGAATGAAGTGAAGCTGCAGCGTCCAGATGTTCAGGATCATTCAGACCAACAGGACCATGATGGAGCTGCAGACAACGGTTCATCTAGTAAATACTGACTTATTGAACGTTTTCCATTCCTAATTTATTACTTTGTAAAATTCACTTTTCACTTTGACACGAAAGAGTCGCATTTTTGTAAATTATTGTTGAAATATCCAGTTAAAGGTGAACCTGATGTTTACTGAAGCCAAATGTTACATTCATTCAACACACACAGTGTGTGTGTGTGTGTGTGTGTGTGTGTGTGTGTGTGTGTGTGTGTGCGTGTGTGTGCGTGTGCGTGTGCGTGTGTGTGAACATGCTGAGGACCATCTGACACACTGATGCCTGCAGAAAGAGATGCTGTTTCCATGACGACCCAATGAGGAACATGATGATTAATTTAAAGACATTTGTTTCTCCCTCTCCTCCTTCTGAGCCTTTCCATCAGTCTGAACATGAAATCGATGCGCTACACTAAGAACCTGGACCACAAATCATTGTGTCATTGAATCCAAACAGAAATCAAATAACAGAAAATATTCGAAATGTTTCCTGCACTTGAACTTAATGTGCCTGTAAAATGTGGATGCTTCATTCCACAGTTTAATGTTCTCACACCTCCTCATCATCTCACAACATTAACTGTTTCCTATCCAAACAGGAACCAGTCTTTATTTCCCAGATGAGCAGAGATGTGACAGATTCTCAGAACTTCTGTCTTCCTTGCTTTGTTTCGTCCCTGTTGACTGAAGAGAAGCATTTGATTGTTTTACAGAGACATAAATCACAAAGTGATGAAACACTAACGCAGACCTGCAGTCAGCCTGCAGACAGTCTGAACCATGTTTTATATGAATTCTTCACTCACCACCAGCTGAAACAATAGAAGTAACGTGTCAGAAGAAGAGGCTGCGTCTCAGTGACATGTGAAGGAGAACTCAGCTGTGATTACGATCAGAACTCCTTCTGCCGAACGCTAACCTGTCATATTGATATTAAATGTTCTGAAGTTTGTTTCCAGGTTTTCTTTGCTGACTTCAGCTGCAGCAGCTGAATTACTTTCAGTCTAGATGACACTTTAAACTCCTCCTGTTGGATCATAGTTTGTTGTTCAGAGTTCTGAACCAGGAAGCAGGTTCAACAGATCCAGACTTTGTTTTGTAAATTGGCTCAACAAAACCTGAACCCAGTCAGAGACACCAGGTATCAGAAGTTAATCAGACATTCTGCTTCGGACTCTGCTCACATTAAAGGAGACGTTTAACACGTCATGTGATTCTTCTGCATCTATGTACTGATGTACTGAAGCTCATTCAGGTCTGACTCTGTCCCATGAGGCAGGAAATCACTTTAATGATGACAAATCAGAGTGAATCAATGCTCCTGATTGGATGTTCTCTGTGTCATAAATACCAATAGATGATCAATGTTCTGATCCACGGCAACAGGATGCCTCCAGCGTGTGATGCTGTAACTGCTTCATTCAGTGTTTCAGTAACGTCCAGATCAGCAGGTTCACAGAGAAAACATCATCATCAGGAACCAGT